TTGAAAGCCACCTTGGCCGCCTATCGGCTTTTCTTGAGGTTTTCCGGACAGCAGGACTTCAGCTCAACTCTTTCAAATGTCGCTTTGGCCGTCGGGAAATCACTGTGCTGGGCCACCTTGTCAGTGCTCAAGGCGTGCAACCTGATCCTGACAAAATTCGAGTTGTCAAAGATTTTCCCATACCACGTTCTGCAAAAGATGTACAGAGTTTTATCGACCTTTGTTCTTACTTTCGACGTTTTGTGAAGAATTTTGCTGACATTGCCCAACCACTTACGGAACTACTGAAGAAGGACATGCCTTTTTATTGGGGCACTGACCAAGCAACTGCCTTCAGCACACTTACAACATTACTTACTTCTCCACCCATCTTGGCCCATTTCGACCCGTCAACTCCATACTGAAGTTTGTACCGATGCCAGCGAACATGGAATCAGTGCTATTCTCGCCCAGTGGCAATGAGGACAAGATCGCGTCATCGCTTATGCCAGTCACCTCCTTTCTCCTTCGGAGAGCAAGTTTTCCATTACAGAGTGTGAGTGCCTCGCACTAGTGTGGACAGTCGGAAAATTTCGACCATACTTGTTTGGCCGCATCTTTTCGGTAATTACAGGTCACCATGCCTTGTGCTGGCTGTCGTCCAACTGGACAACTTGGCCACTGGGCCTTGAAACTACAAGAATACAGCTTTGACGTGGCATACAAATCAGGTCTAATGCACCAGGATGCCGACTGTCTATCCCGTCACCCCATAGACCCCCTGTCCTTTCAGCACATGATTCTGAACCTTGTGTCTTTGCCATGTCGGCTTTCACCAACATATGCAAGGAACAGCTCAGCGATGTCCACTTGCGGTCTGTCATGCAGAGTCTACGTTTGCCCCACGTAGACCCATCGCTACACTTGTTCGTTCTACGCAATGGCATTCTTTAGCGGCGCAATACCAGCGCCGAGGGACCAGAGCTACTACTTGTAGTTCCTGTGACACTCCGTTCCGCTGTTTTTGAACAGCTTCACGACGCCCCAACTGCTGGACATCTCAGGGTCACGCACAGCGTGCGGCGTAGATTCTTCTGGCCAGGCCTTTACCGTTCTGTGGGCCGATACGTTGCTGCTTGTGAGTCCTGCAGCGCTCCAAACATTCCACCTTGCCACCAGCTGGCCCGCTCCAACTAATAGACATACCCACCGTTCCCTTCTATTGCGTCGGTCTTGATCTCGTTGGACCATTTCCTACTTCTCTCACTGGAAACAAGTGGGTAGCTGTAGCCACTGATTACGTGACAAGCTGTGCCACTGGCGTCGCGGACTTCTTGCTTCATGATGTAATTCTTCATCATGGCGCTCCTCGACAGCTGCTGACCGATCGTGGTCACTCATTTCTTTCAAAAGTAGTAAGTAACATCCTTCGCTCGTGTTCGACGCGTCACAAGCTCACTACGGCCTATCACCCACAAACGAATGGTCTTACCGAGCGCCTAAATTAAACCTTGACAACAATGCTCTCCATGTACGTTTCCAAAGATTACCTTGGTTGGGATGGTACTTTGCCTTTTGTGACATTCGCATACAATTCGTCATGCCACGACACTGCCGGCTTCTCCCCCTTACATTTATTGTTTGGCCGCCATCCAGCGTTACCCTTCAAGACTCTTCTCCCATCAACTACACAAGCGGTTACAGACTACGCCCGGGGTGCCACTGCTCGGGCTCAAGTGGCCCGCCAAATTGCACAGGAACGCCTTCTTGGCTCACAGCTCTCTCAGAAGGCGCGCTACGATAGCCATCACAGAGAAGTTTCCTACTCTCCAGGTTCATTGGTCTTCCTGTGGACACCATGCCACCACGTTGGCCTATCTTTGAAGCTCCTGTTTCGCTACTCGGGGCCTTACAAGGTTTTGCGCCGGCTTATCGAGGTCACATACGAGATCGCTCCGTTGGACAGTCAGTCGTCGTTGCCCGCACCCTCCACTGACGTCGTCCACGTGACCCGCCTGAAACCATGCATCTCCGCACATGATCCTACTCTCCTTTAGGTGCCGAGACAGCGCTGCCAGCGGCGGGGGGTTATATGTTACACGACATCGGCAACGAGAGAGCATCAGGTAGACGACGAAGACAATGAAAGCGACTGCCCTTGTGTTGTTGTTGCTGTTGTACCTCCATCTTGGCTGCAGCTGCCTCTGACTCTCTGTGTATATTTTGTAGATATATTTATTTCATTCATTCTCTTACCCCTTGAATATATATGTATATATATATATATATATATATATAAATAAACATATTATCTGTGCCACCCCCTTACACAATGCCTCTCGACGGCTTTGTAAGGTACTGTAAATAAAGAAATATCCTATATTTATAAAGTTTCTTTATGGTGTTGTCAATACCTTGCTTTTCTTCAAACAGCTTGCCCCTCTTAAGCTGTGCTCAGAACTTGCATCAGATAATACCATAAAGGTGAAACCCCAAAGCGCAAAAATGCACGTAACAGCGACGATCGATGTGACATAGACCGTCTTCGCATGAAGAGTCGCTTGTGCAGGTCAACCTTATTCACACGACGGCTTCGGCAAGTCAGCTCCACAGTTGCTGGCATGCGACCATCTACTCGTACCAAAAATGCCATGTAGTCAGCGGTATGAAATGTAAAAATGAAATTCGTTGATTCATAAAAAAATGAGAGGTGTTTCTTATTGACTTGCAGCGCTTTTTTTTATGTGCATGTCCATAAACATTACTTTATTTCTTCGTGCACTCAAGACTTGGCAGAGAGGAGGTCGTGGTTATGCGGCATGTGGAGACAACCGTCAGTGCGCCACTGATGTACATCCTGTACTTTGCTATTGGCTGCTTGAGCACAGCATTTCGAGGTGATGCGTGGCAGTTTCCAAATCTGAAAAACTGGGTGATCACATGTAAACGGACAAGTGGTACATAGTGCAAACTTCCTGCTCTCTGCTTGTCACTGTCATGCGCATTTTCGAGCTTATGAAGTTTGACCTTAATTATCAGTGAATTTTTCTCATTGTGTGTGATAAAAGTTGTGGACATCGGTGGTTGTGGCAGACAAAGCTGTTTTGATCTCGTAATGGCTCAGCTCAGGCTGTAAAACTGAAAAACAAGCCAGAACTGCATCCCGCAGTGTTGCTGCAAAAGTCTTCACCAGAAGACGCGAGACCTTGGTCACAGAAATATTCTTGTGCTCTGTGGGAAAAAACAGCATGAGCGACAAGCTTGTGGGGATATACCAGTAATTGTTTCACTACATCGCTTCATGAACACAACACAGGGAGTATCACAAGTAGTTATGTTCCATGCAAGAATTTTTCCTTTTTTGGGGAATCTTCGCCTCTCATTTTGAAACAAAAAGAAGAGAGAAATCTTTGTGATACTGCAGGGAATTTAAGTAATGGTTAAATTCTCTTATGACGACCAATAATTAGCGGTCACAGTGCACCTTCATCGGCTATAATCGGTTCTTGCGCATGTACCACGCAAGCATAGCCCTTGAGATGTGTTTCTGATATTTGCGCGGGGCGATTTCTAGTTCATTATTCATGTTAGACTTGATGTCCACCATGTGCAGGGTACTAACAGTATATGAAATAATAAAGTGATGCTTTTGTTGTGTGGCAGTGGAAGATTTCAAAAGTCGCAAGTACGTCAGACATGTATAACTATTGTGTATGTGTGTGTGTGGATGGAGGATGAAATTACCTCTGTTGCGCAGGGAAATGTGCTGGGAGTTTCATCAACGTTTGCAAGGGAAAATCCCCAAAATAGTAAATTTCTATGTCTGAATGGGAATTCTTTGGTGTAGTATGCAACATCACTGATTAGAAGCTAACCTTATTGACTTATCTAAAACAGAGTTTTTAGAAGGCAGGAGAGAGCAAAAGATGGCCAATGTACATGAAATCATTATAATAAGAGACGACAAGAAAATTATTGTGAAGCAACTGATACCAACTTCCAAATTCAGCATTCTGCCACAAAGCATTAAAACTGGCTGTCCAAACTAGCTATGAGAATCAATTCTTTCAATGCCAAAGATTGATTCTCTTAAATGTTTTCTGCTCCATAAATGTCCCTGAATTTCATCTGTCACTTTCATTCAACGAGTTTTTAGATGTTTTATGACTATGCCTGTTCAAGTGCATATTACAGTAGTGAAATCGGCTTCAACAGGAATCGAAGGTTTCTATGTACTTGAAACGAATAAATAGATGTAGCTTGCTGTATACAAACCTCCTAAAAGGTGTTTTATGTACACCATGGTATGTTCTGTAATCACCTATTCAAGTGAAATGTACATTGCTGTAAAGACACACTTCAAGACCATGTGTGCATAAGACCTGCACTAGGAGCAACCTTTTTTTTCGTTAGATTTAAAAAGATTCCCAAATGGTTTTGTACAAGATAATTGTGGCAAGTTTCAAAACTAAGCATATTTTACTGCATGTAGCTTCACCCTATAGAATCGAATCCTGCTACTATTCAAGTTAACTTCAAAATGGTTTCATTTCTTTGAACTGAGAAAGTTACATTTGCGCAAGCCTACTTTTGAACAGAGGCATAACCAGGATTCTGGGTGCATTTGACCACTGTGCAAGCATGTGTTCCCATGCGTGTGTAGATACTCATGAGGGGAACTTGTTCACGACCGCTCTGGGGAGAGCTTCGATTTTTGCAGTTTCATCGCATTAAAAGTACAGCACATGGAAGGGTATATAGCTGTCTGTGATGCCCGCTAAGATAGCGTGCACACCATTGGTCTCCACCTCCCTTTGATCAGAGTTCACAACTGCTCCTTGAGTGACATATCAGTTGCTATAAAGCCTAGATACATACGAAGGACTTAACAGCAGAACATAGTTAATAACGTATAAATGCACTGCTAATCTTACGGCCCATTAACTTTTCAGTGTAACAATAACACGTAATAAAATACGTGTTCTGCAGCTTTCAGCCCATTTACGAGTGGAATTTCTCAGCCACGCAGGCCTACCTCGACGTCGGCGCCTGTAAAGATATGGGCACGCAGACAGACACAAGCACCAGTGATCCAGCATGTCCCCCTTTATTGCAACTATGGAGGTTCTAGCCTGCATGAAGTTCAACAGCAGTGCCACATACAGTGGAAGAACTGTCATATGTTGCTGCTTAATTTGAAAGAGGTAGGTCATAGTTGACTTCACTTAATCTTGCGGTGTTAATGAGACAAAGAGAGCAAAAAAAAAAGTAAGGGGTCATTCCCCTATTGGGAAAATGTAGTTATTACTATCTCATCGTGAAATGCTGCATCCTAACTCTTTTCGTTCCTCCAAACCGAGAATTAGGACCTTCACCCATGTGCTTAGCAGCAAAACATTTCTGTTGGTACAGGCAGAAATGACGGTCATTACAGCAAGTGCGCTATTCACTTTCTTCCAGAAGCTGGTATTAAGCTAATCATGTTATTTTGCATGAGCATGCAAAATAATACGAAATGACAATCTCTCTAAAGTAAAAAAGGCAGATGTGGCATGAAATTTTGTTTTTGTTTCTCACGAGTTTCCTGTTTGTTAACACTTAAACGGACAGTAGACCAGCCCAAAGTTCAAAATCCGTGATCAGGAGATAGCTGCATACTTGTACAGGGATCCCACTTCTGCGCCAAAATGCGCCAAACGATATTTGCTGTGTTAACCTGATAAAATCGACGTAAATTGCGCTAAACTGCGCCAAACCGTCCATCTCAGGGGTCCGCAAGCTGTGGCCCGCGGGCCGCATGCGGTTCGCTGGGCATCTGACAACGTCAGAAATCTTAAAATTGTTAGACTCTGTAATCATGGCAGTATTTAAATAACTATAATTATTGCTTTAATTACCAGAGACAGCAGTGGAGTCTAATAATATAATTTTTTACCTTCCCGCAAACAGACCATTGCCTCTTTGAATAATTGGCCGCCAGTACTTTTGCGGATGAAATTCCTCATCCTGCGGGAGGACCGCAACTAAAGCGCCAATGAGCGCAACTATAGCAGAAGGCTAGAGATATGTCACTGTTAATGATGGCGATTGCAGTGGTGTTGGCTCTGCATCGGTTTACTTGCGTACGCCACCACCATATATATGTACTCTAATCCGAAACGAAAGCCGCTTGCAAACTTACCCGATTGCAGCAAAGATGTAGGAGCAAAACCAACATGCAACAAACACGACATATTGTTTATTGGCATATACCTATGCCAAAGTGCTCCCAATAGTAAGATTACCTGCTCCAAAACTAAAATTCTACTGCTGTAAAATGCTTCTATTAGCAAGATTACCTGTTCCAGAATACTCCAAAGCTAAAATTTGACTGCTCCAAAGTGCTCCAAAACTAGAATTTGACTGCTCCAAAAATTGCTCCAAATCGGCAGTCGCCAGTGGGATCACTGCTTGTACGATTTGAACATACTATTTTAGGAATATTATTGGAGGTGCCGTTCTAAGGAAGAGACAAAGAATAGAACAATAGACCAAACTTTTAAGGCTGCTTCATGTAGTTCATTTTCTCACTCGGCCTCCGCACGCTTTTTCACTGCACGTGTGGGATGTGTGGGATGCTGCGACGATGGAAGGACGCATCCTACATGTAACATAACTGTTTATAAGCGCGGTATCTGGTAGCAGCAGCGCGGCTAGCATGCCGACGCTGCGCTCACATGGTTAATAACAATTCGTCCAAGCTTGGCTGCTTAGGTTTATATAATAGTAACCAGTGATGACGTAAATGTTCGGTTGCGCTGTGGTAGTGCTGTTCCTTATCAGACGCATGTTGCAGCATGCAGCTGAGTCATGCCGGCTGCACCCGCAGTGTGTCGCCACATTACCCCCCCCCCCCACCCTCGCGGAGTTGAGAGCCCTTAAGGTCTGTAGAAATCTGGGAGGCATACCAGACATCCAGAGCATGTCGTGAAAGGAGGGGGCTATGGCATCGGCAGCTGTGGATGGAGCGTCGCTGCCCAGTTCGTTCACAGCGACGTATGTGGACTTGAGCCAGTCAATTGAGGCGCAGACATTGTTCCCGTTCAGGCATAGAGTGAAGTTTTTGTCGTTAGATGGACGTCGTGTAGCTATAGGGTGGGTGAAAAGACCTGCAGATGGTGTCATCGCGGAGAAAAGCATGTGTGCACGATGCTAGCGCTTTAAACACAAAAAATGTTGACTTGATGTGGTGGGCTGCAGGTGACGGGCATAAGGCAGCGATAGTGCATCGGAGCTGGGCGATCAAGTTGGTGGGATTTGACGTCGTAGTGCTGGATGGCAGAAATTCACCTGGGAGACAGAGTAATTCTTGGTAGACAAGCTCTGTTGGTGTAGTGGGGATGTCCGGCTTGACGTTGCCGCGAATACCGAGGATGACAGCTGGAGTGGTCTCGACGCGACCATTGGATTGTCGATGAGACGGTCGTGTCAGTTGTTGGGGAGGAGGTTGTAACGTGCCAAAAAGTTTAGCCGATGATTGGTTCAGCGACGTTGGTGATGATGAAATTTAAACAAAGGTCGTGGCGTAGATTTATGAGCTGGATGTGTAGGTGCAGCGAGTCTTTCATCTTGATTGTGTACTAGTTCGTTGCACTGAGCTCGAAGGATGTCGGCTGGCAAGGACCTTGAAGATGGGCTCATTTGTAGCAGCAGATGTTGGAACCAATCCTAACAAGGAACCGCTGCTTCATAATTTGGTTTGCTTTGTAATTTGGTTCGTGACGGAAATGCGACGGTTGACAACTCGCAGCTGTCTCTACGAGCTGTTATTGGCGTTTCCCTCATGACCAGCGAAGCAGGGGGGTTGACAGTACACAGTTATAGCTTAAGGTTAACGTAATAGCGGATGTTAAGGGAATGGCGTTACCGTGCAGCAAGCGTTTGTTGTAGACAGCATCTTATAGTTTAGCGGGATGGTGTTTACGTGGTTTACGTGCCCCAGCTGGGATGGTGGCGCCACTTATCGAATGGTTAAAGACAGTGAAGAGGAAAATAAAATGAGAATGTTTGCCTATGCCAACGCGTGAAGCATTGTCACAAGTTTATTTTACTAATAATAAAAGCAAATAAATGTGAACGACACACCAAACGCGAAAAAAAATTATGTTGCCGATTTGCTTATATTGTTCTTGTAGTTAGGCCTAGACGCGTTCGAAATAAGAAGCTATCTGAAAAAATATGCCAACTTACCCGTAATACTCTGTCATCGAAGCTAACTGAAGGCAAGCGAAGTCACTTTGAGCAGTCGTTTGCTGCGAACAAGGTGAATTTTTCAACAACTACGCCAAAATTACTTCGAAGTGAACATCCGAGAGTGCCGCCATGTTTACGTACACTTACGCTACCATGGTAACCTTAAATCTGAAAAATAGTGTGCCTATGGTAAGCGGTACATGTAACGTACGTATCTGTGCATGCGCACTTCGATTCCGGTATCACAGTACGCTCGGTATCCCAGTAAGTCCGGTATACTATAACTGTCTATTGTCGGGCTTGCTCCTCAAAGCGTTGATGATAGTAACCACTATTCTTATAAGTACGTTGCGACGGGGCGTTTCGGGGTCACAGGTTTGTGAGTTGTAGTGAGGGCGCATCGTAAGGTGTTCTAGCTGTTGTTGAATATAGCCGAGCTGTCTATTGATTTCGTTTGTGCGGTGCACAGGCTAGATGGTGTTCGATCTGGATGGGGGGCGAGGGCTGTGGCCGAGATGCCTCGATGACGCGGCTGGCAATCTCAGAAACTTGATAGAGAGGTAGCGTATGTAGAAAACAGATCGAAGCTGAAGCTCAGAGGCGAAGAAGAAGAGGTTGGCCAGGGGCATGCATTGTATATTTTTTTAGATGCTCGTTCTGTCAACAAACAAAAACGTATCAAATATGCAGTCTCTCCGGTCCTTCTGAAACATGGTGCCATGACCCGGGATAACTGAGGACAGACACGAAGACTTCAACCCTCATCCAACAACGGGTTGAAGAAAGAAAAAGGGAGTGTCTGGCTCAACAACGAACCGCTGCGGGAAGGACTACGACCGATGACTGTTGGCGACCCACCTACACAGGCAAGAGTTCTTCCAACAAGTTTTAGGCATGAATAGAGAGGTCCTGTCGAAGGAGCCAGACGCTTCGAGCTAATGTGATAACACTTACGAGCGAAATTGATAAGATAGAAGCAGATGCTGAGTGAGCGCAACTAATGATGCTTCTAAACCAGATGAAGAGCGTGTCATAGACCTCAGCAGGTTAACGCACAGATGGAACAGCTCATTGAAGAAGACGACACAAAGGCATAATTTTAAAAAGTCTTGCAGTATGAGATGAAGATCGTCGCCACAACGACAAAAATAAAGGAGCGGTTATGAGACTTGGAACAAGTGACGCAACTGACAGCGAGAATAGTGATTGAACAGGCGAGCTAAGTGAAGGTACTAACCACCTCTCAAAAGACACAGGAGCTTGTTAAGTTGCCACGTCTTGAGATGATCAAGTTTGATGGAGAAAAAAACGGCGTGACCGAGGTTTTGACATCAGTTCGAGACATCGGTGCATAACAGATTGAGCATACCGAAGAGTCAGAAATTTATTTACCTTCTGGCATTTTTCAGTGGAGAAGCTGCATCTCTAGTTGAAGGTTTGCAGTTTCCTGATAAGTATTATGAGCTTGCAGTCGCTCTTCTGAAAGAAACATTCAGACGACAAGATAACTTTAGAAAGACATACATAAAAGAGTTAGCAAACTTGGAACCATTGAAAAGTCCGAAAGATGTAGAGGGATTGAAAAAAACCTTTCCAGAAGTTACAAGTGAACACACAAGCATTGCAGTCGTTAGGAGTGGAAATGGATAAGTGCACCATGGTGATAACTCCTGTTATGAAATCTGCACTACCGGTGGACATGAGGGTTGAGATGAAGATGAAGAAGATAGAGAAAGGGGCCAACAGACTAGCAGTGATGGAGTCGAACTCAACGTCAAGAGAGAGCACACGCAGTTTAAAAGAAATTTTAGAGTTTTAAAAATATATATGCAGCAAGGAAGAAACTGGCAAAGAAAAATTCGTTACCCAGTCACCACACAGCATGAGGCGGACTAGAACATTCATGCTTCAAAGCAACTTGATGAAAAAATGCATCTTCTGTGAGATGACTGGACATCACACAGAAGATTGC